ACTTTGAGGACGTAATCTTATGCGCTCCATTCCTTTCTGGTAAGAGCTCGAATCCAATCCTCTCCAGAGGTTTAGCCAGTAGAATAGCTAGCTGGTTGATCCTGTCAATGTGTTCCAAATACAGATCTCCATCCAAAACTCTTTCCCTCATAGAGAAGGGACGAACTTCGATGTGCTTTGATATGCGATGATACTCTGAATTTTAGCCAATTTTATTGTACTAACATTGTTGATGTAGAACGTATATTTTTGATAGTTTCCAGCAATTTAGACGGTCAGCGTTTTTTAAAATGTGTTGCGTCTATTTAGGTACAACGGGTCTCCTAACTCCGTAAGGAGCGTTGAGGGCAGTGTGGATTAATCCTCCGTTAACATTTATTCTTCAATCGGAGTAATCCTCTGTTATAAAGCGCCCTCTACGGGTTGCTGGGTAGTCGAGTTCTGGGAATCATCGATAGGTAGCGTCTTCACGCTCACGTCTTGCACGCGCCCTGCGTCATCTACCCATCGGACAGAATTGGGAAGGAAAAAGGATAGGGATTAAGTATACGACGCTTCACAGGGGTTGGACTAGCCCTAGTGAAGCAGGCAAACTCGTTTTGACATAACAAATTTCACATGAGGTTCTACGGGAATTCTACAGGAATCGAACTCGGTATCTCAATGGTGAAATGCACGCGACTTAGCAACGAGAGGTTTTCCGCCAGATTAACTCCTTTGCGTATTCACTTGCTGCTATTATCTCAGCTTCTGTTGTAGACGTTGCCACTTATTTTTGCATCGGACTGATCCCCGATACAGCACAATTACTAAAGGTTGCAATGATACCAGTCGTTGATTGTCTTGTCTTGTCACCTGCGTAATCACCATCACTGTAAACCCGTACAGCTTGTCCCCTTCAGAAGACAATTCCATGGACACTCTTCAAATATCCACTGTAATCTTCTGTACTTCCACTGCACTCTTCAAATATCGAAATATTTGTTTCACCCGTCTCCAATCTTGAATTCTAGGATTTTCCGTGTCTCGAGCTATTTTTTTATCCGCGAAGGCAATATCAGGACATGTAGCTGCAGTCAGGGGCATCAAAGAACCCACAGTCTCACGATAGGGAACCGTAGTTGGCCTTTCCCATGTGTTTAGCGTCGAGGAGAGGAGGGGGGTGAGAACTGGGAAGACAAGGAAATTCATTGGTTTAATCTAACACAGAAAATTTGTTTTCAGTCGTGATTGGTAGAGATAATTATGTTCTTGCTTTCCTGGATAGATGGTTGCAAGGTTCCATGGTGTATTGTTACCCAACCGTCTGTGGTGTGAAGGACATTTTCGAGCTTTCGGATATGTTTTTCTAGTAAATTGTTCAGATGTGTGAAGAACGTATCAACGTTACAGAATATATTAACGTTACAGAACGTATAAGTTGCAGAACGTATTAAACTTACACTAAACCAACTCGTTTAATTTATACATACTACCAGCGAGTTTTGAGAACACATTTAATTTCATGCAACCCGCGGACTATCGCGGACTATCGCATATCGCGGACTATCGCGTAGCCGTCAATAGATGGTGCACGCTAGGCAATGGAATAATGAGGAAGAGTCGAGTATTGCGAGTTGGGTGGGGGCGGCGTGTTGTAATTAGGATTTCGTTCGCTCTAGTCCCAGACTATTAAGTAAGCTAAATATATCAATTATTTCAGCTGATGTCAAAAACTACCATTTTGTTTGCTGCAAATATTTAAAAAAATATTTTTGTGAGCACAATTTTATCTTACGTTATTAACCTGAAAGTTACAGAGAAGGATTCAAACACCATTGCTTGCAAATCGATCGCGCACTACATGCTGTAGCTTGCTCCTTTTCAAGAAATATTCTCAAAAGAGAATCTGTATGCGATTGTTCGTTCACTTCTCTTCATTCGCCACACACCGACCTCCGGCACGCAGAATCTCTAATCAGGAGCATGATCATTCTACAAACATCTGTTAGACAATTAAAAGAAGCAGTACGAAGACCCATCATAAGGACAAGTAAAAGCAATAACTACTACATATGGAATTGAACAAAACTTTACACAAATAAAACATAACGTGAGAATAAGGTTTCGTACGCAAAAAACTTCAATAAAACTGCTAATGATCAGCAATACATCACAAAGAACAAGTTAAAATCATGTGATGAGTTCTATCTTAAATATTACAGAAACGAATACAAATTTCGTATATTTATTTGTAGTTTCCGTGGTACAGAAATGCATGTACAAAGTGTCTTTTTAAAAGAAGCTTGATACATCAAAAGAAATAAACGCATACAATAAAAGTCAGAATCCAGTAAGACAGCCTGCAATATCTAATCAAACAGGAGTGGAAATTGATAAAATAGAAAAGAGTATATTCATGGACATTATTGTAAACAAAATAAAACATGCCATTACAAGAGTTTGCTGCCCATAGCAATAAATTTCTCCAAGGTCACACTTATATTAGTTGACAAATACGAATGGTTTTTGCGTTGTCTACACTCTCAAAATATACGAGGGCTGCCTTTTATATTTCACTATTACAGAACAAAAACAAAAATTAATCATCGAAAATTACTTTATTATTTTTCAAAATATTCCCCATGAAGATCTATACATTTTTGCATGCGTTTGAACAAATAGTCGAAGCACTTTTGCCACTCTGATTGAGGTATCTCCAAAACATGTATTCTGAATGCAGCAACCGCTTCTTCGGGTGTCGAAAAACGACCTCTCAGTTTGTTTTTTACGAACGGGAATAAAAAGAAGTCATTCGGTGCCAAGTCAGGACTATACGGCGGATGACTCATCAAATCGATGTTTCGGGTGCTCAAAAATGCAGTTGTTCGAGCCGATGTGTGAGAGCTCGCATTGTCGTGGTGATCAGTGATCCGTCTTCGGCGGTTGATTTTCCTGATTTCTTGGAAGACAGCTGGAAAAAAATAATTGTGTTCCACTCAGAATTAACTGTTCTGCGTTGTTCTAGTTGTACGATTGCGACATGTCCCGTTTTTTCGAAAAAACAGGCGACCATCTGTTTGGAAATGCTTCGTGCGCGAACAACCTTTGTTGGATTTTGCTACTCTTGAAACAACCATACAGTCGACTACTGTTTACTTTCGGGCTCGTACGCGTAAATCCCCGATTCATCACCTGTCACGATGTCATAGACGTGCTTTGAAGCACTGCGATCGCATTTTTTGAGCATTTCTTTCGACCAGTCGACACGAGCCTTTTTTGAGCGATTGACAAATTGTGTGGGATCCAACGTGAACAAATTGTTTTGACATTCAAATGTTCATGCAATATTGAATGTATGCTGGTCCCACTAATGCCAAAGGTTGTCTCAATCTCACGATAGGTCACATGACGATCTTGCAATATCAGTTCACGCACAGCATCAATGATTTTCGGAACAACAATTGATTTTGGACGACCTTCGCGAAATTCGTCTTGGAGTGAACTACGACCACGATTGAAATCACCATACCATCGATAAACACTGGTCCTTGATGGAGCTTCATCGCCAAAAATTTAATTAAGTTTATTCATGCACTGTTGCTGAGTTAATCTACGTCAAAAGGTGTAAAAAATAATCGCAAAATGTTCATGATTTAATTCCATTTTTGGGCCAAGGAGAATCTTTTAAGTTACTGTAAACAACACAAATAGCGCTCGTATGTCAAAACGTTCTGAGTACGTATAACCTCAAAACATCCAACTTTACGATAGAGCTGTCAGTTGCCAGATTGCAACGCCAAGGTTGCCAAATCCCGAAACATAAAACGCAATCTTCGTATTATCTGACTTGAACTTGGTTTAATAAGATAAAAAAGTATTGTATATATTTCATTTAGTTTGATAAAAAATATGATATTTTTTATTGCGTATTTTATTTTCTTAGTGAAAGATTTTCATTATTTGAATTTTGTTTTTATTTATTTATTATTTGACTATTTTTTAGGTCGCATCAACATCTAGGTCATTAGCGACTACTATTGGATTTAACGTTACGGTTACTATGAAGATGACACAATATTGTGATGATACGGTGTGAAAGGACGAACAAAAATCCAGCCATGCCCATGGCGGGGCTGGAACCCTCGCGATCCTTAGATCAGAGATCGTTACGGCATTACTGCCTTAACGATCTCGGCCATCCGGATTGGCATTATTTGAATTTTGTTTCTTTGTAAATGTTGTTTGTTGTTTGATTTGTTACTTTTGCAAGTAGTATATAAATTGGGTGCTGAGAATAAATGTTCAAATAAGTGCTCTCGACTTTTTTATTTATAATCCGTGCCGTATTTTTATAAAGGTTAGTACCAATCACATGTTGCATTTAACATGTTTATATTTATCACAGTACAAGGGTTGGTACTCGTACAATAAAGCCAGGTTAACAGGATGCGAACAAAGACAAATTCCACTTGCGATTTTCCATGCGTTCTATTTTCAAATTTGAGTGATTTTCGGTCATATTTGAGTGATTTTTAATTCAAGTTTCAGTGATATTCAAAATATAGGTCTCTAAACGGAGAGGCTCGAAATATCACGGCAACATCTGGATTCTTTGCTAAATTAACACTTTTTGTTAATTATTATTAACATTACATTGCATTGATGCATTAATTAATAACATTGCATTTATCTTACATTAAGCGAAACAACCAGTGATTCTCGTGCAAATCACAATGAACAAGTTAAGTAAAATCGACTATTTTGTCCAATTTGATTAACATTGTATCTTAATTTAAATGAGACTTCTAATTTACTGCAAGTTTTATTTCTAGTAGCAGTATTTGCCATCGACTTCTTTCTTGTTAAGAAACTCGCACGAGCCGCCACTGGCTTGAAATATTTGTTACTGTAAATTACACAAAGTGAAAGTGGAAAATCATATTCGTATTGAGTTTAAAATGCCCTCTTGTTGTTAAGAGGTGACAATACCCTATTTTCACATCTGATCACATCCGATGTAAAACATCGTTCGACCTTACATCATGCGAAGAATCTAAGCAGGCGTGAGTTGAGTTGCCAAGAGTATCTCGAGTCGGGGGTGGGTAAGCTGTTGAAATGGAGAATTGGGGGTTTCTCAGTTGCAGTGTGTGAAGTGTGTTAAAACGATCAGGGCATGAGTTAAAAATAAAACTTGTTAATTACCGCAATGACGTGAATAATAATCGTTCAAAATGAATTTCGGAAATAAGTTGCGTTGCGTGAAAAATCGCTGTTTTTCTGGGTCGTCCGGATTATTATCTTCAAACTACCACGTAACACCATGTACCCCGATGTTATCTCAGGTCCCGAAAAAAGCAAGAGTTGTGATATGTGGGGGTGGAGTTATGGGGGCTGCAGTAGCTTACCATTTAGCAGAATTAGGCTGGGGCGAGTCGACTGTACTTGTAGAACAAGGACGGTATGTGCACGATGTTTCATTCGGAATGTTATTGAATTTACCTCCGTATAAACATCATTGATAAGTTTTGTGATTAAAATATATTTAATTTGATGTTCTTTATCTTTGATTTCATTTAAAAGTTGTTGACCAAATCCCTTCACTGGCACTGTTGACAGGTGTGGGGGTGGAACCACTTGGCATTTATCAGGACTAGTTGGTGTATTTAAGCCAACTTTGACCCAAGTGAAACTTGCGAAATCTAGTATTCAGCTGTACAAAAGTATGGAAGGAAAAGGTTTGAAGACTGGATGGAAGGAGTGCGGTAGCTTATGTGTTGCTCGAACGAGGGATAGAATGACAGTGTACAGACGGATGAAGGCCCAATCTGTGTATGTAATATTTTGAAGATTTTTATCTTTTTGTGAGTCTCATTGAATGGGTAATATTCTGATATATTAAATGCATTTGTATATGAAGTCTAAATTTGGCAGAGATGGTGTGTGCCTAGTATGCTTTGTTTTGCTTGTTTCTTGTGGAAGTATTGGGAGATCTAAATTATCCCAATAATTGTTGCTCCCTGTGCCTTAAGGTGGTGTCATATAAAGGGATATTGGGCATTTACAAAATAACTTAATTCACATTGACTACTCCCCATGCTTGAAGAGCTATCTTTCCATTCATTTCTGTAGAAGAGTGAATTCTCTTTGTCTTTGTACTGGCAACTACACTTATATATAATTCGGTAATCCTGTTGCTCTATACACTGCCACTAATTTTCATTAATTTATGACAAGTCCATAAAAGTTAGAGTTCATTACATGTTGAATTTTAGAAATTGTGGGTTGAAGCAATATTACTAAACAGTTATTTTGCCATTTCATTTTCAAGTTTTAAAATTGAACATTTAAGCATTGAGATTTTTTTTTTCTAACTGTATAGAGTAATGCTTGTTCCTAATTACACAAAGTAATGGTTTAAAACACCAGACTATTCTTTTTTCATGTTTCATTGTTTTCTTTTACAATTTCATAGCGATTCGTGATTTTCTCTGTATATTAAAATTGCCTTTAAATATCTTGAAGCTCTTGTTCACTTACCCAAATATTTCTTCAATTCCTGGCCTGAAACAGTTGTGACTGTCAATTAACATCAAAAGTAGGTTTGCATAAATGTGACTTCTTTAATGCTCATCGAGTTAGGTTTAATTTTTTCCTATATGCTTAAAGCTTTTATATAGATACAGTTGTGTTGAAATCAATTTGTTACGATGCCTAATGTTGCTTGGCAAACATACAATTCTAAATATCTGTAACTTAAGGCACTGCTGTCTATGTTTGAAGGTTTTCATTAAGGGTAGGTTCTCTTATTTTGCTCTAACCCAGGGGTTCGCAATGTGTTGCGCCATGGGGGTCGATGATGTTTTGATGGGGTGAGTAGTCAAATATGGATCAATGACTGGTCAGTATAATATTAATTATCTTCATAATTAATTATTTCCTTAAATAAAATAACAAAACAATATAATAATAATTATAAATTAACTCCTCTTCTTTCATATCTTGTTAATTCTTAAGAGTTAGGATTTTTAAAAAGTTCTCAAGAAATAACTAGGAATTCACATTGATACTCCATAGTGTAAACAACAAAAAGACTCTCCATAATATGCCATTGAGAAAGATTATGGCCAGTTCTTAAAAATACTCAACATTTTGTTACCTTTGCACCACAATGCAGAATAGAAACTTGGCTACTCAAAAGCGGAAGAGTTTCAATTATTAAAAATTGAGATACTTATGAGAATAGTGGAAGAAATAATTATGGAAGAGCAGGCTTGATGGCCCGAGTCTCGCCATGTAAAATAAGGCATCAATTCAATTCAGTTCAATTCAATTAAAAAAAGTTATCTTAGTGGCATTTATGTGCAATTCTTTGTTATGATTATGGTTGCTGTGTATTATAGTGAAAATGTAAGGGGGTTGATGAAGTCAACAATAATTCTCTTAAAAGGGTTGAAGAGAGAAAAAGGTTGGAAATCATTGTTCCAACCCATTAGAATGACATCCAGGTACACTTAGATTCTTATTAAATAAGTGTCAGGTTATTAAAAAATTATTAATTTTCAATGCTTTTTTTAAGTTTCTCACTAAATGTTATAATGGTTTATATGTCAGACCTCCAAGGAAATTTACACATGTAATATTATTTTGAAAGAACATCTAGAAAAACTTTTACTTTTGGTGCAATATTGATAAAGAATACATTCCAATTCTACATTAAAAATTTAATTTCTTCAAATATTGGTCAAAGAAATACTTGTTTTGTTAGAAGCAAGTTACACTTCCTCTTTCTACTCAAATCATTTCGGGGTTCATATATACCCAAGAATATGCCCCTGAGCAATTTTCAATTTCAAAAATATTGTTTCGAATGTGCCTCATTTTCACATTTCGGTTTTCTCCTTGGAGACATTATTTGTGGAGACGTTGAAATAGCAAAGAGTATTTTTTTGTATATTGCCAGTTATGATGGAAAGTCAAATTTTCCATTATTTATAATGTTTAAATTTGGATAATTTTTAATAACTTCTGGTGTGATAACTTTTCATGTTGCTCCTCTCATTCTCACCCAGGAATGCAACATCACAAACAAACTATCAATGTTCAAAATTGAAATATCAATGTTAGTAATACTACGTCCAAAATCCATTGAAGTTGGTAAGGCTGGTAAGTAGCCTAATGGCCATGCAGGGTCAATTAAATTTGACAGTGACAATGTTATTTATTCACAATTTCTTGATAAAACAGTAAAAAAAGTAAAAGAACAATTAACAAAACTTATATTATGCGATTGAATAATTAAAAAATATTAAAGTACACTCATCAACAAAAACTAGCATTTTTGCGCTCATGCTTCAGTGCAACTCTTGCACTCAAGCAGAAAGAACTGCATTAATTTCTTTGTATAGAGATCAATAGTTTTCAAAGTACGCATATAATACTAGACGTGTAACATTCCATATTAAAATTATTTGAGTGGAGGGCGTTTTGATTCTTTCCAACTTTCCCAACTACCATGGATATTATCTTTTTCTTCCCAACCCCGAAAGCATTTTGGGCTCGTGCTAGTTGTAGGATGTTTGCGCCGTTACCTAAAAATGTCGATATTTAAGTAAACTTCCTATCACGTAAAATGCATATTTCATTTGTGTAATTACTCTCGGGAGCTATGGCGAGGCGTGCCGCATTTCGGTGAGCAAGCAACCACCAAGTTTACAGGTTCTATAGACTTCATGCAAGTAACAGTTCCGTGATACGTAACTTCCAAGACAAACACCATTGTAGAAGAAAAGAACGAATTGTTACTTATGAATTTTTTAAGGTCACCTGCAAATAAATGAAAACGCGCATGTTATTTGTCGAATCTCAACGAATTTTAGAAGCGCAAGAGCTGGGTGATCAGACTTCTTTTATCCGAAAGTGTCTTCCTTTTTATACTTGTCCGGGGTCTGCACGGATTTTTTAAAATTCACGAAATGTACTTTAACTCTGAGAGCACGATATTTTCAAATTATTTGTTTGGACTGCTGTTTACACCATGGAATTATTTCCTCCATGGTTTACACTAATTAGCCTGTAGGTGGCAGCCCCATCACCGGAATATTCTCTTTTTTGTACTAATCGAGAGGTTCACTCATTTTGATTTTGCTCTCAGTAGTTTCGTGAGTTTTTGATGTCGAGGAAGGAAACTCATGCGATTGTTTCCGTAGACATATTGGCCAAAGGTTTTTTGTAATAGTTAAAATGCCAAAGCGGACGCGCAGGTTTAAGGATGCCGCCATAGCTTGCACCTAACCTGTATTCAAAACGGGAAGGAAGGAGTGTATGTAAATCGGAAATCGAAATTTGTGTAGCTGTAAGATTTCTTACTTTTTGCATGTATAGGTACTGTCATCTGTCAGAATACTTCCATAAATATACAGGGTAACGTGTAGTCACACACCATTCGTCATATATTAAGTTATCATGTTTATGTCCTGTTTTTTCACCAAATGTCCTCTTTTAAGTCCTTGTCCTCCTTTTCATCGAGCGGATTTGGCCACCCGTCACCCAGCATCGATTTTTAAGGGTAGAAACTGCGAGTAATTTCTATAATGGTCAGCAATAAATCAAAATATCTCAGTACTGCTGCTCTAAATGTTAGCCTAATAGGAATTGTTTTTACTAATTAAAAGCTCTTTATTTCTTATCGTTCCTCTGTAACACGTAGCATACACATTGGATATTGTCGAGATGTAGCGGCAATGTGCAGAACGACTGCCCAAATGGGAGTTATTTTTCATGTATAATCATCCAATAGTGTACACTCACAGAAATGGGTAAATGTTCTGAACACACATTGTGGTTTAGTTTCTATTGATTTGATTCGTTAATGTTTCACGCTATGTAACTGTTAACTAATTTTGATTTAAGCAGAAATTTCTTTTCAGCATTTTCCCACATTTGTGTTCGCATGTCGTTTGTCCCTTTACCCTCACAAACACTTTCGATATCAAAAAGTTCTATATCAATTTTGAATTTTGAGAACACACGCTCTGAAACCACGACGCGACTGAGAACCAGCGTGTGCAGCCAGAGCGCTCCAAAACACCTACGAGTTCCGGCTGCTGGTGAGCGCCGGTAAGTTTCGACAAGCGTTTGTTGAGTCCTCCACCATTTGGTAGCATGCGCAATCAAGCTGGTGAATGACGTCATTCGGCGCCAGGTCCACACACACCGGAATCCAGCGTCAATCGTGAGCGAACTCTAACACTTTTAATGCGTAACGCTTCGATACTAGTCTCAATGTTGATGCTGAGGTTCCGGGCTTCGCGATTGACAAAACAACCTTGAGACAGTCCAACGAATTTCGTGCCCAAATACTTTTTTTGAACAGTTTGTTAAGAAAAAGCAAAACGTATTCAAAATCACTTTATAGCAGGTGTACATTGAGCAGATGTTTATTAAATATTTTGAAAATAATACTTTTGTTTTAAGTGTCAAAGGTTTGGGCATACTCGCACCCTGAGCTTACCGACATGTGATGTATCTCGGTAAGCCCAGCGTGCGGGAAGTGCGGTGCATCAGTGCACCACTGATCTCTGCACTACACCATCGCACTGGGTCAATTGTGAAGGTGACCATCCAGTAAACCACCTTTCTCTGGGAGAGATTCATTAAATAAAATCACCGAAAAAGTTTTCTTCCCTGAGGCCAAACATCGGCACCAGGTTAGATATCTAGTAGACCTGTCACAATCCTTCTCCAGTACCTTAAAGACAAAGAGGGGGGCAACGGCATGTTGCCAAACAAAGTAGCGTACCTCGGTTGTCAGATGTTGCCTATAGACTTCCCTGGCGATACGGCGTGCATCCAAGGTAGAAAAGTAATCATATCAACGAAGTTACACATAGCCATAAATTCCTCCATCCACAGATCACTTCTACTGAGTCTTTTAAGGAAATGGGTTCCAGTAAAGGTGTGTTTACACTGCGCGAGGGAGCGAACAATCGATTCTGAACGAAGGCGCGTTCGTTCGCCGGATGATCGCGGGGGAGAAGTTACTTCGTTTGTTCTGTCAGCCATAGTGTTCACTCGCAGAGGCAGCCCTCCCAAGAGAGTTTGTGTATCTATTTTATCGTTGCATTGCGAACAAGCGACTGAATGTACTTTTTAGAGTAAAAAGAATAGAAGATGAGCGACGAAATTTGGGCTAATTTTTGCGTGCTGTCTTAAAAAATGCAATGCTTCCTGACCAATAAATCGGATTCTGAGAACTGGTTCACGTATTGAAAAATGGAAAATTCATTACTTTTATTGAACTTAATGTTTTTAAATTGTAGTTCTTTATAAAGATCTTACAAGAACGGAAATAACTACAGATTTCTTGTGTCCCATATTGGTTTTTTGGTCCGCGAAAAGGTAATAATTTGTCTGCCTTCAGGAAACTCATCTTCACCATCATCCCCTCTGTTTTCGGGGGTTTAACATCTATCAATTTGTTAAAGAAGGCGGACTCCGTGCCCGGTACGTATCCGTGACTCCCTGTTCTCTGAGAAACAAAACGTTCGAACCGACTTTCAAATCGTATGCGTTCGGATACACCTACCGTCCTTTTCGCTAACGGTGTGCAATATATTCATTCTTTCTGACCAAGTTGTGTCAAAAGAAGAACTTGAATATGTATTTTCTCAGTTGCCCGCTCTTTTTCTTATTGTGAGGGATTTTAATGCCCACAATTCCGTCAGAGGTTACATAAGCACCTGCCCGAGAGGCAATGTGCTTGAAAATATTATTGACCACGAGAACTTAATTCTTCTGAATATTGGCGAAAGCACACATTTTTTTCGTGGCTTTAAGCACTTTCTCATCCATTGATCTGGCTCTCTGCACTCCATCTCTCTTTACCATCTTTGAGTGGACTGTCCTTGGCGACCTGTATGACAGTGACTACTTCCCCTTTCTGGTCAGTTTCGATATTCCCGACTTAAACATTGCCCGTCCTAATTGACTAACCCACCGAGCTGAGTGGGAAACATTCGAGAAAGAAATACGGTTATCGGAAAACTGTCCTAACCGTATCGATGCTTTTTACTGTTGCCGTTCTACATGCGGCTTCAATTACCATCCCGACGTCGGGTCGCCCACGTTATCCTCTCGTGCCACGGTGGAATGCCGACTGTGCCACCGCGGTGCGTGACCGGAAGCGGGCATTGGCAAAGCTTCGTAGGTTCCCAAACATAATCTGATAAATTATAAAAGATCTCGAGCAAGAGCTAGTTTATCCACACGGGAAAGTAAAGCCGCATCGTGGAGAGCTTATCACTCTTGCCGTACGCCCCGTAAAGTAGCGTGGCGAAAGATTCGACAGATCGGTGGAAGATGTCCTTCGCCGCGTGTCTCAGGACTTCTGGTAATTGGAAATCTCACCTCACTAGAAGATATAATTAAAGAATTTAGCCTCGCACTACTATCTCCAGCTCCGCCTACTACTCTCCTGGCTTTCTGAACACCAAAAGAAGAATGGAGACCTGCAGATTGGTTTTCTGGAGTCTCGTGGGGGAAGATTACAATACTCTTCTCTCCAAAGATGAGTTTTCCTGTGCCCTCGCTTGTGGAAAAGATTCTGCTCCAGGACCAGGCAAGGTACATAATCAAATGCTTAAACGCCTACCAGAAAACGCTCGTTCTTTTCTCCGCATTTTCAATCTGATTTGGGATGAACATTCCTTACCAAGGATTTGGCGTGAAGCACTTGATACTCCAATCACTAAAGAAGGAAAGGGCAGAACAATCCCCTCACGTTACCGCCTAACCTCGGTCACAAGCTGTGTGTGCAAGTTTTTAGAGCGAGTGGTAAACACACGTCTGGTCTGGCTCCTGGAATAAAGGAACCTATTTACAGCTTTTCAATGTGGTTACAGGAGGCACAGTCAGCCAAGGACCACTTAATCTCCCTTGTCACACTGATCATTTTCGTGCTACGTAACACCTGGTTGCAATTTTTTAGACAGAGAAAGCGTATGACACCACTTGGAGGTACAGCATTCTTCGCACCTTGCATTCTTGGAGCTTTAGGGGACGGCTCCCTTTGTTTTTAGTAGATTTTCTTTCAAAACATTTCCGCGTGTGCCTTGGCGACACGTTATCCTCTAGTCACCAGTTAGAAAACGGTGTTCCCAGGAATTAGTTCTGAGTGTCACTTTATTTGTCATTGCTATCCATAGTATCGCACCAGTGATTCGAGAGCCTGTAGAAGCATCGTTCTTCGTTGGCGACCTTGCTATCTTCTGCTCCTTGCAGAGTGACTCATGTTGCGGACTGTTACATTCAGAATACATATTACCGTTACATACTGATCGCAAAAAATCAAAATTACTCAAAAATTTCATATCTAACCTATGACCATGTATATAATTGGATTCGTCGTTTTACGCTCGTCGTAGAAGACCAAAAAATATGTATAGTTCCATTTGAAGAAACAAAGTTACCTCAAATAGATCGTAAAATACAAGTGATAACATAGAAACGAATGCAGGTATCAATTAGCCCCATTCCCTCACTTCCGGGAAACAGCATTGCAATAACTGCAACCGTTCAAAAGTTACAGGTACTTAAGTATCGTGACTCAACTGTATATATAATTTCTTTCACAAATTTGCGGAACAAATCTAAGAGCTCCTATATCTATCAGTACGGCCTGTGCTTTTATGCCCCACCATCTGCTGATCTCGATTTCCAAACTCTTGTATTTAAGACGTTTCTCTGGTTTAGATTTTTTGATCGCAAAGCACACACACACACACACATATAGTGTGATCAGCCGATTATGGGGCATAAAAGCACAGGTCGTACCGATAGGCATCTGAGCTCTGGGATTTATTCCGCAAAGTTTGTAGAAAAACGTGTCTAAATTCCTAAGTCATTCTAAAGACTGGGAAATGCAAAAAATTGCTTTATTTAGAACAGCCCACATTTTGCGCCAAGTATTGTAGAGGCACCGATCGTCCTTAGATCTTCTCCTTAGGTAGCTGCTGTTTGCAACGTGGAGTATATTTTATATTCAGCCGACTCGTACATCTTTAGTCGTGATGTAGAGGAATATAATAATAATAATAATAATAATAATAATAATAATAATAATAATAATAATAATTTCGTGTGGTCATTTGGCCATTTATTAGGCGGTCATGGAAAGATACTATAAAATTTCTTTATGAACACAAAAAGTCTAATTTATTTCGGAACGTTTGTGTTATTAAAACAAGATCACTGCACAATTATTTCATTTTAATAATTTTGGGTGTTAAAAACCATCTTTAAAAATAGCTATATTTTGAGGTTTGTTTGATATCTTCTATCTCTGATGAATTCACTAACATTGAAGACAAGCCTGGCAGATTCAAAGAATAAATTTTGACTATAGATGTTATTAGCCACACGATAGAGGAACTTCTTGCTACTTTTTATTATTTGTCAAGGTGACGAAAATTTATAAATCACTTTTTAATAAAATGTTTGAAGAATAGAACATTGAAACTATATTTTATAAATAATCGAAAACATTTTTTGGTAAATAACTCCATCATGTCTTTAAGATTGTTCCAATTTCGTGTCTCCAGGGCTTGGGACATAGAATGCTCTCTTGTTACACCGGAAGAAATTAAGGAATTATGTCCTCTTCTTGAAGTAAGTGACCTGTATGGTGGTCTTTGGATCCCAGGAGATGGCGTAGGGGATCCCTTCCAAATATGTCTTTCTCTTATATCGTCAGCAAAAGAGAGGGGTGAGTAGTATTACTCTTACATTTCGGCATAAGGCTGGGTACAGACTTCATTCAGAGAAGGCCCCGAACGAACAAACCTATCCGATCCACGACTGTCCTTTCGCGCAATGGACACGCGGCCCTTAGCGAACAGTGCTCGACACAAGCGTTCCCTGTTCGCTGTCCGGTTTGGCGCGTGACAACGGCTGGCGGATCATTTAAGTTTGAGTGAGCGCCATAATGGGAATAGGTGTGCCAGTTTCAGGATCAAAAAGGCCAGTTTCGGGATCATTTTGAGGATAGTTCTAGCTTACAGCGCTGTGATCGGTTTGAGGAAAATCGCGGACAATGTCGAGTCAATTGAAAGTGCGATGTAAGACGAAACACCACCGACCCATTTTCAACACTATTGAAAAAATAACTTTTGCATCTCAGAGTTAAACCCCGGTCCAGAGAGTTTGGAATTAGAACATCGCTACATTGTTAGCCTATCTCATCGTAAACCCAATTCAGGTCCAGCGCAACGCACTGGCATCAAGTTCTATCCTTCTAAATTCATATTCCGCGGTAAGCGCCAAGCCAGCGATAATTCAATGACATATTTTGCTTTTCAATAAATTATATGTGTACAATAGTTTTCGAACCCTTCACGCTTCTTTTGCTTACTAGTTTTTCAATTGATGGCTGAAGTGTTAGATAGAAGTTGCAATATAACGTAGCCATTACGAGAACGTATGTGCTGTTGTTGCAACACCAGTTTCACAGTCTTCCACTGTCATTATTCTATTTTTCAGGTGTATCTGTGATTGAAGATTGTTCTATACTTCAAGTGTTCAATTCAAACGGAAAAGTTTCTGGAGTCGAAACAAACCAAGGGTATATTGAGTGCGATTATTTTGTGAATTGTGGTGGATTTTGGGCTAGACAAATTGGCAAAATGAGTGAACCATTTGTGAAAGTTCCACTACATGCTTGTGAACACTATTATCTTCATACTAAACAAATTCCTGGTTTGGATCCCATGACTCCAGGTGAGATTTTATCATATTTCATAAATATCAAATATTTCAAATAATTCTCAAATATCTTAATCTATTTGCCTGATACTACAACCATTTCTCTGATGTTCATATTCGCAGTAATACGAGATCAAGATGGTCACATCTACTTCAGAGAAAATGAAGGGCGACTTATGGCGGGCGGTTTCGAACCAGTCGCGAAACCTGCGTTTGAGGATGGAAATATCCCAGGTAATGATTATTTTCATATTTAGGAGCCAATGCTTATCTTCGATAGAATACGTTCATTTTGCTTCCATCCAGTGACTTTATCAAGGCAAGTTTTTTAAGCCATGGGTCGTGTTCGATTAAGTGTGATGATCCATGGGTCCGAAAATAATTCAGGATGTATAAGTTTCCTTTCTCGCATGTTACTTACGTAGTGTAGAGAAAGTATTGAAAAGCTGAAGCTAATACTGTGATTTTTCGACAGAAAACTGGGCCTCTGATATTAAAAATGTCGATAAATCTTGTTCCTATATGTTAGGAATAACTTCCTCTAACACTATTTACTAGGCTGTCCATGGCGAAGGTGCCGACGTTTCGGTCGCCATTCTTCGACCTTCCTCAGGGCGTAATGCACGTCGGCACCTTCGCCATGGACGCGGCGTCACCCGGACAGCCTAGTAAATACTGACTCCGGCCGCGGAAGCCTACGCTCTTCCTCTAACACGTTGTGTAGTTATAATGCACGTTTTATGAGTCCTTGATACCAAAAAATTGGTTGACGCAAAACATATGTCTGGCTGGCGATCTGGTTGTCTGTGGTCAACGCTAGTGCCTAAACCGTTCAGACGATTTTCTCCAAGTTTTATATTCTTTGATCAATCTGGCTGAACTCGATACTCTGCAAATTTGGAACGGATATTTTCATTTTGGAGGATAATTTACATGCAGTCTTACATTTCCTCAAAAATAGCTCCAAATTGTTTTTCTATTTTTTCTTCGTTGAGAGTAAAGGACACTTAAAAATGGCGCAGGTGCCATATTTGTTGAATTCTCAGCATTTTTAAAGTTGCAAAAGTTCAAAATTTTTGGGATTCTTAGTAATGCAGTATTAAAGAATGATTTTTTCCGTAATGAAATATATTCTACAAATTTACTGAAAAATCAAGTACATTTTTAGAAAATATGAAAAGTTTTCGCGTCAATTTGCGTTATATATAGGCAATTTTAAACAATTATTTTTTCAAAAACGGCTCCAACTTTTAAAAACTTCTTGTATTGAGCAAAGTAAAAAGAGGCCTAGATTCCATTTTGGGTAAGCTTTCTTCGGTGAAAATAAACATTGCAAAACTACAGTATTGATGATGGAGATGTTTTTCCTTAATAGAATCTAAAAAGTTCTTTAAATAAAGTTATGTTCATTTTCTTTACAATACGTGTCGTTTTTGCATAAATGTTGTATTAAGTAAAGGAATTTAAAAAATATTTTCTCAATTTCGGCTCAAAATATTTTTTTCTCAAATAGAGCGCTTATAGATATGGCCAAACTTCTATTTTCGGTGAACTCTGTATTTTCGAAAATTGCCAAAAATTAACAATTCAAAAGTAGAATATTGATGAGAGGGATTTTTTCTTTAATGAAACGGATGTGGAAAAAATAAATCTTTAAATAAGGTCAAGTACCAATGTTTGAAAAAACAAGTAGTTTTCACGTAATTTATGCTTGAAGGAAAGGTATTTCTGAAAGACACCACCAATTTTTTCTTTAACATTTTATCCTCGCATTGAGTTTAAAAATGGCGAAGGCCTCATTTTTATTGATCTCTCTGAATTTTCAAAAATTGCAAAAGTTATAAATAATACCAGAAATATGGGCTGTTGTAAAACCACTATCTTTTAGTTAGTAGGTATGAGGAAATTGACTTTCATTAAGTTTTATTTATTTAACGTCAAAAACAGCTATAAACTGTGTGCGATGTTCTCTGGGGAGAACTTCGGAGTTTGGCCATTGTCCCTCTTTGTGCCCTTCGTGGAGGACTTCCTGCCATGAGATCATGGAGAACGTTAATTTGAATAACTATATTACCCTCAGAACATTTATGTCCAGCAGCAAAACAAGGTGCCATATCAGCATTCGCTCGAAAAATCTGGGAAACTGGACGAAAAACCTGACGGAAATGGTAATAGTCCCAGAAGCTGAGGTCCAATAGTTGTTACTGGTTATTTAGAATTATACAGTCCAAATGGTGATTAATACATTCAATATCATTGTTAAAATTAATATTACTTTCCTATTTGATGCTCGGTATAGTCTAATAATATAGAAAATTATGGAGCAGGAATGATTTTACTTGGCCCTTAAACTTGTTTATCTAATTTAATCATTTAATGTCTTCTGACAAGGTGTTGTAAAATAATGTATATGCATTGTACACGACGATTCTATAGTGGGCTTTTCATACTAACACCTGATGAATATGATTACTACGTCGACTGTTGCAGACATCGGTATTAGCTGAAAATATGTTCCTACGCTTGAGTAAATCAATTTTGATAAAAACACTGATTCGCCAGCCACGAGCCAAAGTAATGGTAGGATACCTTGCTTAATAAAGAGAGGCTTTCAAGAATCACGAGGGTGGAATTTGATGTTTCGTACAATTCTTTTTTGTAATCTAAACGTAGTTTTAAACTTCATGAAAGTTCATGTAGTTAAGTGGTGCAAAACTATAAGAATTCGCACTGAGGAGCCCTCCCTTGTTAGTAGTCTTCTCTTCTTAGAGAGGTTCCTTTGAGCTAATACAGCTCAACGTGTCTCTGGATTTCTCTCTGCGCCCACATCCTGTCAGTCGTACGTTTCACCACTTGCACCCGCCAATGTTCCGTTTGGATACTTCCAACCCTACGCTTCTGTTGATAGACTAATCTTTACTTTGCCAATTTTTTCACTGTACACTCTACAAAATATATTCACCAACTATACTACATTTAACAAAATGAATTACATGATGAACTCGCAAGAGAAAAAATACAGACTACTTGAAGGTAATATACCTTCATACTTCTTCGCGCGCTTGCCGGTAATTAAAATTTCACATCTCAGAGCTCGGGATTATTGGGTAAGTGCCCTCGCCATCTCCTATGGCCTGAGCTGCTGGAATTAGGTAGTTCCTATGGGATGAAAATGCAACGACAATAAAATATATTTACGATTTCCAAATATATTGTTCTTTCAAACTGAAACAGAAACGTCACTTCCAACACTTATATTATGGACGCTAGGCGCTTGCTCCAAGCGTTTCTTGTTTCGAGTCCTCGGGGGCAGACTTTGAATTCGATAAAAATGTCTCCGTGCAACAATGCGTATAGATAGGCGATTCTGATTCTCGTAGTTTCCTTGCTGCCTCCAAAATCCACGGATGTGATTCATTGCGTATTTTTCGTTTGATATAGCGGTCTAGTGAAGTGAGTTGTAGGGGTTAGCGGCCCAGAGAATTTTTCTCTGGTTTTATTTCAGAATGTGGTAGAGGGAAAGTGAAAGGCCTCATCGCTTAAAACTGAAGATACAGAGTTTTTGCTGGACGGGAGTCAAAAGTCATGGTTCATAATCTTCATCTTGAATAGGAAATAACCTATCATCAAAAGTGTTTTTGTTGATTTAGAAACCAAATTAAATGTAACATTACAAACAGGTTCCAAGTGAAAGCAATTGAAAATATCGAAACGCTTTTATTGAATATTTGTGTATCATGTCTCTCGGTTTTAGCTTTCATAAAGATTCAATGTAAGAAAATACAGACCCGGATCAGTAAACAATCCCGAATGGACTTTTCGTCTGTCCATTCCACACGTGCACGGGAGGAATGATAATACTAGACATGCACTGAATTTCTTTGATCCCCAAACTCCTACTGTTTCATTCAGTTCATTCAACAGTGTAATCTGAGTTATAAACGAAATAATATGTTTATACACAGCGAGAAAGTAAGTTTCCTTTACGACTGATACGTAGCAGGCTGTATAATTGGAAATGCTAATGCGCGTGCGTGTTAGAGTAATGACGTGGCATTCATATGCACCAGGTTGCACTTCATTCTTCAAGGTAGCACGAGTATAGCCGGTAATGAAGAGGGCGGCTCTAATTCCTTCCCCGGCGGCTTGCTCGTCAACTGCATCAAGGGTAAGGACCAGGCATCACGAGCAAGAGATGGTGCGTTGGCTGGTGCAGAGAATTCTCAGAAGGGCGGAAAATTGTGGATATATGGAGCGCAGTGGGCGGCCATCCCTCGTCATGGGCGAGCTTGTAGAGCATGTGCTGCAGCTCGTAGAGAATCGTCGTTTCACGGTTATGGAACTCGGGAGCCATTTCCCGTTCGAATTTTTCACGAAACATCTATTGTTTAAAAACGTATGTGCCACGTGGGTGCCAAATAAACTGGTATCCGAACATAATAAAGCACATGCGATCAACATTTTGATTTTTGGAGCGACGTGGCGGAGCTTGGTGGCGACGAGTTACTTGATACGATTGTCACAAGGGATGAAACGTGGGTTGCACACTTTATCTCAGAAACCAAACAGAAAAGCATTGGCGTCACACTGGATCTCCGACCAAGACCAAATTTACGCAGACTGTCACGCGGAAATGTGCACGGTCTTCTAAGGCAGAAAGGGCATTGTGTTGGCCGAGTTCGTGGATAGAAGTGAGTCTGTGAACGCTGTACGTTACTGTGCAACAGTGCAAAATTTTCGAGGGCCAGTTAGACCTAGCGACGTGGAATGCTCAGCACAGATGTGTTCCTGCACGCTAACGCTCGGCCTCACACGACTCGGCTCACAACACATTTGCAGCAGCTCCATGGGGAGATGTTTGATCATCGACTCCAAAATCCGGATCTCGCCACCGACATTTTCATCTTTTTCTTTCACCACGAGAAATTGCTATCTGCTCAGCGTTTCGCGTGCCGCAGTTACTCAGAATTGCAGGTGGCGGTCAAACAGTTATTCTAGGGTCGTTCAGAAATGATTGGCACTGCAATTATTTTGTGTTCACATGAACGATTTACTGAACGAATACAGATTTTATTACTGGTATTCGTGCCATTGCCTATGCATTTTTTGCCGTAATTTTGGCAGCTTCCGTATAACAAGCCATTCTAACAGTGTATGCCGGCGCCACTGTTGGGCAACTGCATGAAGTTCGTCATTGTTGGTAAACTTCTTACCCGCATGCCCTTTTTCGTTGC